CAGCGTGCTCTTCGAACTCTGCGAGTTGACTGTGTCGCCAAGCCGGTCTGTAGAGCTGGTGCGGCTGACGCCGGTCTCAAGAGACGGCGCATCAGAGGGCGGCAATTTCTGCGGAAGATCTAGAATGAGGTAGCCCTTCAGGGAAAGCACAGCGCTTACCTCATCGGGATCAGTGAGCTCGGGCAGACTGATGGTCTGTCGGATGCGCCGTCTGATGACGGCATCGCTCGTCGTCTCCTCGACACGCGCCGTGATGACGACCTCGCGCCGGCGGAAAGAGACCACAGCACGCAGATGCTCTCGGCGTAGGCCACGAGCATCGAGCAACACTTTAAGCGAGATTCGCTGCGTCTTCTCACAGGCCGTGAAGACTGTGGAGACATGCTCGAGTACCGAGGACATGCCAAACTGTGGAACGATGCTTTTTTGTGATAATATCTATCCAGATGGATGGGGTCAGCCTAGGATCGGGTGCAGGGTAGGCATGAGGGCGGAAGTTCGAGCAGAAGAACATGCGTCTCGAACAAACTGGGAATCAGTCGGGAGTGCGATGAAGCCAAAATTGGCAAAATTCATTCGCAACAGCCGGACTTATTATTGCCACTTTTACTTCCATCAGAGGGCAAGAATGGTGGGGAAAAACTGAGAGTAGGAGCCAAAGTGCTCAAATTCATGCTATCGTCATCAGTATTTTCGCTCGAACAGAACCAGATAGGCGAAGATGTGTACGAATGGGTGCATGGCTATGGACACAATCGTGCACGTCTAACTTAAATAAGATTGGCCAATACGACAGGAGTTCTGAAAATAACCAATCACATCAGCGAAGAATGTCTAACCTCAGCCAATCAGTGTCAACTCTGCTTATTTGTGTCACTTCCTCTGTGACCTAAAGGCCGAATTGATAAAGTATAGGACGAAATACGTTGTAATTCGAGATCAAAATTTTGTATTGCACTATCGGTCTTGAAAAAAGACTATCTCTCAATGATTACTGCGTTGTACAACACAAATAACCCAGCAGCTAGGTCGTATTGGTGGCCAAATGAAATCTGGTTTAACCATGTCTGAATTCTCAGATATACTACAATTTACAACAATCAAGCGGAAGTAACGTAAACCAAGCTGGTAGAATCAAGAGTGAAGTAAAAATGAATAAGGAGAGTTAAGTGTGAGCAGTTTTAAAATCTGGTTAACAGCAAGACTTTAGAACCTAAATGCCTGGATGAAGAAGTACTCAGGATTTATGAGCCAACCAAAGTTAAAGACAGATAGAAAAGATGTGCTTCAAAACTATAACTCATTTTCACGCAATATAAATAAAAAAGGTAAATATATACATACTTTTTGCCACAGTCCTTACGTCCTTATTATTGGGGGTTGTAATATGGATGTGGTAAATCTTAGCTTAGAAAATTCGTTGGAGTTACTTACGAAGTGGTATAATCTTTTTCGTGTTCAAGACTCATGGCACAATTTCTGCTTAATGTTTAAACTGCTGGTGGAGGTCGTTCAAGATTTTACAAACACCAACTGCCTTATGGAATAATAGCGGATGCAGCGTAAATGAAGTAACATTGTTAGGGGGACTTGCATTTCGTATGAAAGTAAATGAAGAAGAGATTCGTTGGTCGATCTCACCAAATGAGGACGGATAAATCTCGTTATACTGCAGCTGTTTGGCTTTTATATGATATTCGTGTTAACGCAGTCAACCAGACTTCCTCCCTCGTTTCAAGTGAAAACGTGCTAAACTTTCGTCCATCATATGATGGAAATCATCAAAGCTGCGTGTCATTATTGTAAGAGTCTCACGTTAACACTAGGGCAAGAAGACTATCCGACTCTATCTTACTTATTTTTAATATGTAAGTAGAGTTTTGAGACTATCAGTAAATCAGTAATATGAGATATATTTACCCAATTTCGTTTAAGGTGATAAAGGCCTGGACTTCCTTGAAATTCACACCTGCCCTGTGATCCAAAGACACTCGTGGAAATGTGGCCGACTGGTCAATGTGTCAAGCTCCCATTCTGCACTGTCACGGTTCGACTCCCGCTGGGGGTGTTGCTAAGACCGATGCGAGGTCGAAACAGCAGTCCACCCTGGATGAGAACAACATTTGGGAAATTCAATGAAAACGTCAGCTCTACTGATATCATTGTGGGAAAATTCTACTACCAGTCCCTTATTACCTTCAACGAAATTAGGTGGATACATCTCATATCTATCTTACTTCTTATATAGACTCAATTGAGCCAAAAGATTATACAGGAAAATAGATACCAAAAGATCAGAAGTGGTGGAATACATTGCGCAGACGACTCGAGATTAAATGGAATATAACAAAAGGAAGGGCCTTATATGCCGAAAACACCAGTAAACGGAAGTTTAGTGGGCATACTTGCGAAAATAAATATAGTGAATAGGAGATTGGAGGATGGTAGATTTAGCAATAACTTGGTCTATTGCTTGCGCGAACTCGGCAAAACCAACAAAACGGCCAACATTCCCAGCACAAGGGTGAAGGAGGTGAAAGCGACTTTATTTTAGTCAAGGACCTATCGGTAACCAGAGGAGATGGAATCGTAAAGAACAGGCAAGTGAGGAACATTCTGAAATCAGAAGACGTAGTGTAGTCTGTTTGAAACGGCTACATTTTTGCGGGCCTTGAAGTGACATTAATAGAAAGACGGATAATCGCAACCATCATAGGAATTCTGCATTATGACCAGTAAATTTGGGCTAAATTAAAGATATGAAGACTAAGATGTTATGGCCTCTGTTATGGTCGCAGTCTCCTTTCGATTTATAGAAGTGGGTTGACCTCGTTGTCTCAACTTGATCTTGTTGTCAGGGTGACTTAATAGAACGCACCTAGTCTGAAGTCGTCTGCCATAGTAGTTGTCATGATTCCCAGCATCAGATAGTGGAAATGGTACATTCTCAAACGTTTCGCCGGCATCATCAGTGAGTTTTGCCATTCTCCGCACCAAGCTACAAACTCGTGAAAGAGACAAGTGAAGTCAACCCCTCGTCTTCTGATATCAGAATGTTCCTTACGCGCCTGTTCTTTAAGATTCCATCTCCTCTAGTTACCGATAGGTCCTTGACTAAAATAAAGCCGTTTTCACCTCCTTTACCCTTGTGCTGGGAATGTAAGCCGTTTTGTTGGTTTTGCCGTATCTGTGTTTGCTCCGAGTTCGCGCAAGCAATAGACAAAGTTATTGCTAAATCTACCATCCTCCAATCTCTTATTAATTACATTTATTTTCGCAAGGATGTCCACTAACCTTCCGTTTACTGGTGTTTTCGGCATATAAGACCCTTCCTTTTGTTATATTCCATTTGATCTCGTGTCGTCTGCGCAATGTATTCCACCACTTCGCTATCCATTTTCCTGCAGAACCTTTTACGTACCTTGATTCGTATACTCATTTTCCCCCAGTTACGCCAACATATTTCTGCTTGCACGTTATACAATAAGCTTAAGAGCAATCCAATATGTGGACTCTCCCATATTGGTGGCCGTTTTGAAGTTGGTTCGCAGGAAAGTAGGCATATCCATCTCCGTTAGTTTTTCTCCATCCTTCCTTTTCCTTCGTAAGCCCCGTCCTGCCATCCTCTTTTCGCGGCCCGTATGTTTCTTTGTATTACTTTTGTCGGTTTTTCGTTGCCGATGGATATCCGAGTCAATTTGTCTAATTTTCCATTTCAGAATTCCACTTCTTTCTTGCGATCCCCTTTACTCTGATCCAGGCTTGTCCTTAGGGCAGGTCTCGGCGCATTCTTGTTTGTTCATAGTTGTCTTAAGCAATTGGCAAAGTTGTTGCAAACCCTGCCTGTTGCCGCATCAAACAGAGCGCCTAGGGTCTGACTCACATGTTTGCACATGTTAGACATTACAGTGTAACCTGAGCAAACTGCTGGATTTCGAGTACATTTTGATCATAATGCCGAATTTCTGTGACAACTGTGATTATACGCCTCTAGTTCCCGGACCGACAGGCCTATAAAGTTGTGCTGGCTTCCTCGAGCAGACTTTACGGACTGACAACCTCTTGGCTTGATCTCCGAAACTTTCCCACGCCTCTTCCTCGTTATCCCTTTTTCTCTGGTTAACTATAGGCCCTTGACCCAGATGTCTTCTTTTAGCTGGTCTTGCCATATCCTTGTTTTCTCCGAGATCGCTTAGGCAATGGGCAAAGTTTTAGCAGACGCTGCCTTCTTCCAAGCTCACGTTCACTACATTTTATTACCTCAAGAATGCCATTGGCCTCCCTAATTTTTCGTTTCCTTGTATTTTCACTGTATGAGGCCCTTCTTTCAATTGTCTCCAGTTGATCTCATGTCCATTCTGTTCGATGTGTTTCGCTAAATCTGATATTGCTCTATCTATTTTTCTGCAGAGCCCTTGATGTTCCTTGATTTATATGCTGATTTTTCTCCCTGTTTCACTAATATATTTCTGTTCGCAGGCGCCACATGCTATTCAGTAAACTCCTGAGCAATCCGATTTGTCCACCCTCATGTTGCGTGGGCAGACTTGTGAAAAATGCAGTTTTTTTGTGGTCACCTGAATATGGCCTTTCCTTGGTATTAATCGTAGTTTTTGAGTTACTTTGCAGGAAGATAGGCATATTCACTTTTGTGAATCTTTCTCCGTCTTTACTGTTCTCTCATAGTCTCCATTCTGCCATCGGCTTTTCGCGACCTGTATGTTTCTTTGTGTTACTCCGCTTGGGTAACCGTTGCCAAGGCATATCTGGGCAAATTTGTTCAATTCTTCATCCTATAATTCCACCTCTATTATTCGTAGGCTTATGATGATCATGTTCCTCAGTATTTCTATCTTTAGACCAGTGATTTCCAAACTTTTCTAGTCGCGGCGCCCTTTTTCAATTAAAATTTTTCCATAGCGCCCTACCCTAAGTATGACTATTCATAACTAAGAGATAAAAATAAATAAAACTAGTGTATCTTCATTATTTTTTTACTTTATTAATATTAAA